TATTGGCTGTTATATGACAGTGAATAAGCTTCAACATTAAGCTTCTGTTTTTCCTTTTGTGTCTCCTGCAGTGTCCAAAGAACCGGTTCCAGCCACAACTTCAATAGGTAAGAAAACCACTGCTGTCTGAAAGGGAGGTGACTACCAATCAGATTCCTTCCTTCCTTCCTTCCTTCCTTCCTTCCTTCCTTCCTTGTCCTGTCCTGTCCTGCTGTCCTGTTCTGTCCTGTATTTAGCCAGATACAGATCTTTTCTTACCAGTTCCTCTTTTTTGACCCTTACCTTGTTTCTTTCCCTCTTCCTGGCATTAGAAGGTAGCAGAAGTAAAGTTTTTTTATCCTCTGCTAAAACTCTGCAGAGAAAACAATCCAGACTGCAGAGATATAAACCAACTTTATGTGTTTTTCACTGTGGCCAAAACTAACGGGACTAAGTGGCCAAAAGGAGGAAAATGGATCATTAGCAGCTCTGTTTGAGGGTCTCTTCTCTTCAGTTGATTGGCTGCAGTGTTCCCCAGCTGTCTGTACAGGTTTGCTGATGCACATCAGGGCATGATGAGGCAGAATGCAAAAAGATGCTTGAATGATTTATGCACTGGCAGAAATTCGGTGTTATACATCTTCACACAATGACAATAGCTTTTTATGCAGCCATCTGTTCACTTTACAATCAGACAGAAAATCTAGAAATGGAAAATGCACTTTGATCATGATGGAAACAGAAAAAAATCAGCTGCTCGCAACAAAAATTCTAAAGGTTAAGAAATTAGTATAAAATCCTCCATATATCGGGTGACCAGATTTGGGTTTCTTAAAAAGTAGGACCGGGCCCCAGTGGGGGACAGAGCGACCAAACCTGATCCAGTGATGATATGCCGTAAGGCAGGCGGGGGGTGAAGCACGGGGTCCCGGCCGCCGTCACCGGGTCAGATTCGGTCGCTAACAACTTCACAACTTCCATTTAAAAACTGTTAAAAACTGGTGACTAAGGTTGTGAAACTCTAAACTAAGTAGCTACTATGGAAGGCAGGAAAAATGGTGGCAAAACTTTGTCATTAAATTGATGCATCCTTGTTTAGATTAGTAGGTATAATATAATATTAGTTATAAACAAATGTTGTAATTCTATAGAAGCAGCGCCACTAATTACGTCTGATGATGCATTTCCAGTACAACCGCAGCCCAGTTGGGCTGGAGTTATTATGATATTATTATTATTATCGTTTGTCATGGGCATTACGCTGCCGTGCGTTATGCATAAGTTAAGCTGTCGTTG